CAATTCAACACCAAATGTGATGATAGGTAAAAAAACATGACATCAACTATATAGATTTTTAAATTTTAGGTTCCAATCTCTACAATATTAATCAAATGTCTCAGAGAAATATATTCCAGTAATCACTAATTGACTTTATGTTTGAGAAACATAAGTGACCAGATCAATTTTTCTTTTTTGATCCATGGACTAATCTCAGTCATGCAGAATCCTTCGCCCCATGTACCTGCACCATATGCACAACAAACGAAACCAAAATGCAGGTTTAAGCAGCAATTAGTATAAGAGTTTCGTGAAGATTATGTATATATGATATGTTTTCCAAGTATAATTGCCTTCCAAGCATCATGACAGTAGCTTGAGGATTAGCACCCGGGGTGTGATAAAACGTTGAACCATCAATAACCCTCAGAGAATCAATAGCAGGAACTCTACATCCTTTATCAACAACCCTCCCAACTTGACACCCTTCCATTGATACTTGAGTAGAATAATAGTTTCAGATTGAGGCAGTAACATATATTATTAAAGCCTTAAGTTCTCATCTCTTTGCAAAATACATACAATTTAGGAAATTCTTGCAATGAATCTAGATGGGAATTCTGAATTTCCACAATCATCATACCTTTGGTGCAAATAAACTATCAGATAGAAAATAGGGAGCAGAATCTTCAAAACAATAACAGAAAAGGAATCTTGGGTGGGAATTACAGACAACGATTGCAAAAAATGGGCCACCTAGGCCGATTTTTCCAACACTGTTTAAAACTCCTACAAACTATTTCAACTGTTCTCAAATAATCCATAACTCTAATTAACAAGCACAAAATGACATACATATGGGAATCACAGACAAGCATTGCGAAAAATCGGCCCTTCGAGCGCCTAGTCGCCGCCTAGACAGATTTTTATATATATATATATATATATATATATATATATATATATATATATATATATATATATATATATATATATATATATATATATATATATATATATATATATATATATATATATATATATATATATATATATATATATATATATATATATATATATATATATATATATATATATATATATATATATATATATATATATATATATATATATATATATATATATATATATATATATATATATATATATATATATATATATATATATATATATATATATATATATATGCATAGTTCGAGTATGAAATTACCAAATGGCATCGATGTCATCCTCAGGTGAGAGCTTCTGGTCTCTCTGCGAGCTCTCTTTTCCTCAGCTTTCACTGCTTTCTCTTCGCCTTTTCCTGGCTTCTTCTTCTTCTTCTTCCCCATGTCTAGAAACACAGCCAAAGAAACTCAGACTCGGCGCGAGGAAGAAGAGAGAGAGTTATCTGGACAATGCATTTTATTTTTTTAAAATAGTATAGCCGGGCAGCTATACTATTTGTGACGTGTGCCAAAATGTGCCCTAGCGCCAGACGGATCCATTTTTATGTAAATAGTTTAGTCAGCACGAGGAAGAAGAGAGAGAGTTTATCTGGACGACGCTAATAATGACTGTGTTGCTTTCAGCGTGACGTCGATTATTTGGGGTAGTAATCCGCTGGCTGTTTAGGTCACGCACTCACATTGTCGTTTTGTTTAAAGCTGAAGCCGGACATAAGGCCCAAGGTTTAAAATATGTCGGACAGGATTTGTGCGGCCCACAAAAGATACGGGTCTTACCCATATTCAAGTTTGTGGCCTATACCGTGTTTGTTTGAGTAATGGGCCATACCGATTTGTCCCTTCTCTTTTTTTTGGGTCAATGGCCTATTTATCCTTCTATAGTTGTATAATTCTGAAACAAAAAATTATTGTGTGACGGCTTTACTAATATGTGGTGTGTCGATATAATCTTATCAAAGGCTAAAGATAGAGGCGAAGCCCGATAGATGGCAAAGCTAGTCTGGAAGCACATCAAAGTTAGTTGATCGGTTGAGGTTGGGGGTTCGATCCCCGCCCATGGGAATGGAGTGCATTTCGTAGCCAGCCGTTTATCTCCATTGGGAGAGCTCCCGCAGCGAAAGGGATTAGTCACTGCTGTCGGCGGTGGATACCCTTGGGTCTCACCTAAAAAAAGTTAGTTGATCGGTGAAGTGGCGGTGCGATAACACCGGTGGCAGGAGGTGCTAGTTTGGTTCATTTTTTTGTTATGTTAATTTTATTGTAAGGGTATAATTGGACTTTTAGCGTGTTAAAACGAAACTAAACTTATGGTAATAGCTTCTAGTTTGAAGATAATAGCTTTTAGTTTTCCCATCATATAATGGAAGAAGAGATTTTGACATTGAGCTACCTCCAACCCACCAAGGATGATTCTACCCACAAGGCAGGCTGCGCTGATGCCCAGCCCAATATTTTCAAAAAAGACAAATAGCTAGATATGTTTATCTCAGCCCCCAAAAAATGTTGAAATCCTATCTCTATCAGCCAAAATAAATAAATAAACTCTATCTCTATCTTCATTGTACTACATAGTACGCTTCACTTGTCCCATAGAAACTTTTTCCATCATGCTTTTCTTGTAGACTAAATTTTTTTATATTTTTATAAAAAAAGTATAGCCACCTCGGGATATATTTTTTTTAAAAGAGTATAGCCGCGTTGCTTTATTAGGGTCATTTTTTTATAAATAGTATAGTCAAGGACGGACTTATGCCTAGGCTAGAGTGGGCTCTATCCTTGGGGAAGATTTCTAAAACATTAAATATAGTTTAATTTTATAAGCTTATTCCTACTCCAATAAATATTTAGCCCACTGCACCAAATAAATATAGCCCACACATGCATTGTTTTTCTTTTTTATCGCTAATATAATAAACTAATAATAGCAAAATCTAAGTAAAGTAAATAATAGCTCAGTCTTTTATTTAAAATAAGCCCACTCCTCCTAAAGCATATAGGAAATAATAAACATCAATCCAAACCTATATAAATTTGATTAGAAGCAGAACTCACGCTAAGGATCTACCAACTTGAGCTATTCTAATCGTACGGATATTGGGCTACACCCATAGAGAGCAAACATCAAAAAATTTCTTCTAGCCACACAAAAAGCCATATTTGAACCTTGAGAGCCTAGAGGAAATAGCTCTCCTCCTCTAAAAAATTGTACCAACCTATCTTCAATGGGTTCTTCAATCTTCGTAAGTTTTTCTCTTTATATATATATATATATATTCAATTTCCAATTTTAATTGTTGTTGTTATGTTTTTATGATTTAGGGTTTGGGTGAAAACTTTTGGAGATTGTTGATATATGTTTTATTTTTGCAACTTGAATTATTAATTAGCTTTTATTTTTTGGTGTCTAGTATTTCTTGTTAGGGTATCATGTCACATGATAATAATAGACCAGAAAAGAGAGGAAAAACTATTTATTCATTCTTCAAAAAAAGTGGATTTTATTTATATTTTGTCTTTCTTTGTGTTATATTTGCTTGTAATGTGACTTTGTTTGATTTATAAAATTTTATTAACATTTTTGTTTCAAGAGAAAAAAGGCTTATAATATATCTCCTCTAAAAAAAATTATTTAGCTTACCCCTATAAAAATCCCTGGGTCCGCCATTGAGTATAGCCGAGCGTACCTCGAGGAATTTCTTCCAACAAGTGAGTTCATTCCTTAAGGGTGCTTGCTTGATGACGGTGCTTAACTTCTCAGATCGTAAAATTACAGCTCTCATGGTCTTACACACACACACACAAAAATTTAATTAAATAAATTAAATAAATCATATCAAAATATTATATAGTGGCCGAACTTATCAGTTGTAATTTGCCAAAATATTGCCAAATAAAATACGTACGTATTTTATTCATATTTTTCCCATTCCATATTTTAATAACTGAAAGAATGTGAGAGGTAAGATTATTTCTATTTTTGACACGTGGTGAAATGGGCGCTAGCCATAAGCGGGTCCCTCTTTTTCTTATAAATAGTATAGACGCACGGCTATATTCGGTTTTTGTTTTTAATAAAATGAGTAGCCGCGTGGCTATACTACGGTTTTTTATTATAAAAAATAGTATAGCCGTGCGGCGATACGCGGGATATTTTTTTTAAAAGAGTATAGCCGCTCGGCTTTACTGGGGTCGTGTTTTTTAAAAAAAAAATAATATTTTTTAGAGTGATTCTGTTAAGCGCATGCCTTTCTATCTAGCATGGGACTGATCATAATTGTAGCTAAAATTACTGCTAAACTTATTGCTAGTTGGGTCAGAAAAAGAAGAAAATAAAATAGATACCAGTAGGTAGGACAAGAAGAATAACGTGCATATGAAATTTAATCTTTAATTTGACAAGAAAAATAATAGAAAAAGTATTTTCTTCTGCTTTTATTTTTATTTTTAAATTTTTTATAGAAATTTCTTCTGCTAATTAAAAAGCTAAATAGAGCAGCATAAATGATCACGACAAACAATCCACATGAAGGTAAATGACTCATAGTTGAAACTCTCTCTCTCTCTCTCTCACCTTAACAAAGTTTTGCCAATTTTTATGTCAAATACCATAAATTGGTATCACTTATTTGAGAAACGATATACAAAGAACGTCTGAGTGGAAATATATAAATTTGAGTTAGAGATTGACTATTGAGCAAAAGTATACTTATAATTTCTTTATCTTGTAGCGCAAGTTAGTAGTACTCGTAAATATATGCTTTGATTTTGCCAAACCATATCAATATCATTGTTTTGTTGTTCTTGTTTACGTCATTAATTATTTTCCATATTTGGGGGTTTTGTATGCCATTATATATTCACCCTTGAATACCAAACATGACTCCATTAATCATATGATATACCTACAAACACTGATCAAACTAACGTTAGTATAGTATACATGCTCAGAAAGTTTATACCACCACAAAAAGGACTCGGACCTTGTTGCACCAACTAACAAATTAAGGTAGAGTAGTAATCTTACACATGCCACAAAACTAAAATTGCTTCTAAGGTCATAAAACGTGGCGAGATGCCTATAATTCTTTTAATGTGATGATGATTTACAGAGTATCCTCCTTGTAAGGAGATAATTATACACAACATTTCAAAAATCAGCTCTGTCTATGACCAATCTAGCTTATAACCATAAGCACAAATGTCAAACAAAGAAGAAAGTCACAAGCATGATGATACTATTCAGAAGGCGTTTTTCATTTCCCTAAGGAAACAATCAACAGGCCAGTGATGAAGCAATTGGAGGCTTGGACTCAGAAAACAAGACCAAACAAGATACAGCAGGTTCTATGCATTTACGTGATCTGGGTGTGTCAGGTCCATTTCAATTTGGTCGATTGTCCATTGCATATTTTCCAATTTCTGTAAGGGGATGTTGATATTAGAGATTAGCATGAGAACTGGGAAATGTACTGCGGTAAGCATTGTTATTACCTTTATAATATCATGGTATTGCCTTGCAATTGAATCAAAGTGAGGATCAACACCCTGATATTCTCTAAGACGTGTAACCTGTTAAGAAAAGATGACTTTTGTAAATAAAGAAAACCAGAAGGAGAGATGCAGAAGGGTGACACGGTTAAGTTGTATGCATGTTGTCAAAGTAAAGTTGGCTCAGCATATCTTAACTATTTATTAGCAGCTGAAGCATTTTCTATAATTATCATCAGCTTTGTAAATGGGCTCATTGATTATAGTGCAGACCATTAAGTATTTACGACCCATCTTCACAATATCTACAATGACAAATAACCAGTAACAAGTGACATAGCAATAAAAGCAGATTGAGAAAGTTCCTTATCTCATCAAAATTCCTTAAGAAAACCCAAAAAATCTACTAGCGAATAAGTTTGAAGAAATTTACAACTTGACAGATAGCAGATTAGGATTTAAAACAATAATGACTTACAGGAAACCAAGGCAAATAGACAGGTAAACATTGCAAATCAACCTAAAAGTAATCCCCAAACAAAATATATTATTACAAGTCTACAGTGCTGCTAGAAGGCTATGATGTGGTTAAAATGTCTGTTTTGGGCCACACACAAATGAAGGCAATCAATTATCAGAAACCACTTAGGAAAGGGAAGAAAAATAAGAAGTAGAATATCATACCGCTTTATTATATGCGATTGAAGCTTCATCTGTAGCTTCAAGGAGATACTTCCTAGAAATGAGTTATAAAATTGTTAAAACCCTGGAATTAGTAAGCTGCACATACTTTCAAAGTCATCAAAGCTACCTTATTTTATGTAGGGCCGGTATTGACTCCTTAGTATAAGTTTCAAGAAGGAGAACATGCTCCAGAACCCTGAAATACAATGGGGCATATTATACTCATTACATTCAACCCATTAATTGATTTGATCACAAAACATGAAAAAAAAAAATACAGTCAGTGGTGAGTGGTGAACTTTGTCTTCTTGCATAAGATGCATCACAGACAAAAAATTCATAAACATATGGAAAGTGAGACATTAAGCAACATTGACACTAGAAATACAAAATTATAAATTTATAATACAGAAAACCATGTAACGGACCTCAATTTTGCACTCATCGTCTCACACCTCTTGCAAAGCCATGTTTTTTGCAGTCCGTCCTATAAATCATTCATTATTAATAAAAGGTTCAAGAATCCTCAACAACATTGAAAACAGAATAATATAGAAGCTTTGAGCCTCCCTCATATTAACCCTCAACAACATTGAAAAAATATTAACCCTCCCAGACATTAGAAGCTTACATATTTATGTTGATGTTGCAACTTCAAATCTCTGACCAGTTTGATGAGCACTCCCAGTATCTGCTCTAGGACCTAGGTTTTGCAACAAAAAAAAAAACCAAGGCATAAACACAAACAAAATGAACCTGGCATGAAATTGCAGGAACATAAAACTTTGTTTTATTTTTGTTTTCATTTTCATACATTATAATATTCAGCAAATTTTCTATCCGCAGAATATAGATCTTCCCGTAGAGCAGCTTCCTCCCTTTCCATCTCCTCAATTATCAACTTCACCCTGATAAAGTCATGAGAAAAGTGTCACAAAAATAGATCAGACTGTTAGAAAAATATTTAGAACAGTGCTTCCAGAAATTTATTGATTGCCAAAAGCATTGGAATTAAGATTGCCAACCATCCATAAAAAGCATCTTACTCAATGTAAAAGGGAATTCTCATACAACGAAAATTGCATCAAAAGAGTAACTCAAACCTTTCTGGAAGGCAAGAACTTGAATTCTGATGCCCAGATGACGAGTCTGCATAAAAAAGCATTGGAATTAGTTACACCTTTAATAATTATCATTATGCATGGGTAAACATGTGTCTAGTACATATTGCATCATCAACCTTAAAAGTGCATGTCTAGTGTATATGGATGGAGAGAGAGAGAGAGAGAGAGAGAGAGAGAGAGACCATTGTCATCCATTATAAAGGCATCGGCTAATTTATCACATTTAGCTACTAAACGGACTTCAATCTCCCGAGAAAGACACAACTGATATTCTGTCATGTCCTGCAGTTGAAGCATCAGAAATGTAAGGAGCAGCTTCACCAAAGTTAGATCTTCATGTTAAGGGATCATATACAGTAAAGTAACAGATACTATAAAGAAAATATACGTTTGAATGTGGAAAAAAATATTAATAAATAAAATGGAAAATAAAAGACAAAGTGAACTGTTGCCAGAACCATAATGGACATTGTACCATTGACAATGGTGTTTGCTGGAGCTGTGTTTGCCATAAATATGCAGGTGTAATTCCAAGAAAGCGATTCGGAACACCACCAACTCCAGATTCCACAGCATCAGTAGCACTAAGAGAAAGATTGTTGTTTGCTGCACTACTGGTGCTAGTAGCAGTATTAAAATTGGTTGAGTTGGAACTTGAGCTGATTGTAACGCTGGTACTGGTACTGTCAAGGGAACTGCGTGACATCGTACTGCATTTTTCAATTTCTTCCTCATGAATTTCACCATCTTTGGAGATAAGAGGAAGCCTCAATCTTTGAGCTGCTTCCGCAACAATCATGCGATGCTCCAATGTCTCGTACAACTGATATAAACATGAAAATCACATTCTCATCCGTTTTAGACTTGATGTGAAGAACAGAATACTAATGGTACATTTGAGCATCCCATGAAGATTGAATTAGCCTGCTGTCTTTTGAAGATGAATTAACATACAAGTCTATCATAGTGCATCTCTGTTAAGATCATGGTTAAATAAAAAATGAACATTCTTTGAGGGAATACTAATTCTGAACTGGTACCATTTCATATTAACCCAAAGGAAAACATTTTTTTTCCTATTGTTTTCTACTTCAATTGTAACAAGGAGAAGGGAATCAATCAACTCCCATACCAGGAAAACACAGGCACCCTGTGCTTTCCCACCAACTTAAAAGTTATTTACCTTAAAGATATGGATGTCTCTCCTATTTCATGCCAAATCATGACTCGACAACACTTGATGTAAAATGCATTTCCAAATCAATAACTTCAAAAACAAAAAACAAAAAACAAAAAAACAAAAAAAACAAAAATCAAAGATTGTGGCACATTGAAACCTGAGGAGGATTCTTCAAGTCCGATTGCAGATATAAACCCTGAACATCTCGAATTCCTCCAAGATTGGCCACCGAAACTGCTTGTTGATACTCTTCCACCATTGCAATTGCCTCAAAAAGAAATTAGGACACACAGTAGAACACGGGTGGGCACAACACACACAGGTCACCAGAAACCTGGCTCTGATACCAAGTCAAACAATATGGGTAGAATATTTTCAGATATATTTCATTCTCCGAAAGGAGGTATTTATAATACAGGTTACAAACCCTAGTAGGATTTAATTAGGAAATAAGTGGAATCCTAATTACATAATATCTATACAAAAGGAAAAATAAATAAAACCCAAATAGAATAGGATATATTCTACTCGCCAACAATTTGGAGACGAGAGAACCATCGGGTGCCAAGCAGTGGCGCTCCAGCTGATCAATGACTTGGGTCAAATCCGGTGGCAGGTTTTGCCCTTGTAGTTGCAGTCCCTTCACCATTTTGCTAAGCTCCTCTTCGCCCCCACTCGATCCAAAACGTCGCCGTATTCCTTCTTCTTCTTCTTCTTCCTTCTTAAAGATTAAGCTCAGCAGTCAGAGTCTTACAGGAATTTGAAATCTCGGGCCGGCCAACCTTTCTTCAACTGCCAGCAAAAGTTAATTCAACTTGATTTTACCAAAACAGCCTCATCTTCGTCCATCTATACGGTGTCGTTTCACTTCAAATGTAAGACAGAAAGCGAAAACAATCACTTCAATTCAATTAAATTCTTTTTGTAATGGGAAGATGATGCAGATCTAGGGGAATTTTGAGATGGTATTTTTATGAAATATTTGGTTGTAAAGTATGTGCGCTGTATTGCAAATCAGTAAACTACGTACATATTGTTTTTGTGATGTATATATTCAAAAGTTGTACAAAAAAGTGATTTTAAAAGAAATTAATTATTTCTTGGTACTTGTATTTATTTTTATTATTACTTTTTTTTTTCCTTAAAAAAGAAGTTGGCATGTTAGCCACAGCTGGGAAATAAAAATGAATTATTTTCGTATTGTTAAAGAGCTTTATGAGCAGCAGCACGTAAGAAATACAATGACGTGATTTATGCCTTATTCGTGTTCAAAATGACCACGAGGTACACTGTGACTTTTGTCATCACTACTAATCTAATATCATTTGTGGCCCTATTTACGGCTTTGTAGTAGTGATTGTACAATCAATGCGGGAAAATATTATCTTCATCAAGTTAATTTGGAGAAGAGATGGACAATACAAAATTTATGAAATCAAATCTTAAAAATGTTCAAGGTGCTTACGTGGGTAAGAACATTGTTTTCTATGTCCGGATGGGTAACATGGTAACATGGTAATAACGATATCTTAGTTATATGAAGACTGTTTTGCAACCCAAATCTTTTGTCAATTCTCATGGAAATTGATGTATCTTATTATGATTTGGGTGAGATGGGGGCAAAAGCTCAGAACAGAAACCAAAGAGAGAAGGAGAGAAGGAGAGTCCAAAATATGCAAGCTTTAAGTTTAAACATTGTAACTAATTCAAAGGCTGATTCAAAGGATCTAGCTTTAAATGAGATGAGGTCAATTATATATTTTGAACTTCGTCTTTACATACTGATTCTAAGTTTATTCTCTATTTAGAAATCTATACCAAAAAAAAACAAAAAAAAGTGGATTAGCTGCAAAGAGCTTCAACAATTGATTTCCCTCAACTCGCTGCATCATATTCACTTTATCTAGACTACCCTACCAGACATTCATCAGTCACGTTCCACAACTGCATGACAAGGATACTTCCTACGATGAAACAGAAACCAAAGAGAGAAGGAGAGAAGGAGAGTCCAAAATATGCAAGCTTTAAGTTTAAACATTGTAACTAATTCAAAGGCTGATTCAAAGGATCTAGCTTTAAATGAGATGAGGTCAATTAGATATTTTTAACTTCGTCTTTACATACTGATTCTAAGTTTATTCTTTATTCAGAAATCTATACAGAAAAAAAATTGTGGATTAGCTGCAAAGAGCTTCAACAATTGATTTCCCTCAACTCGCTGCATCATATTCACTTTATCTAGACTACCCTACCAGACATTCATCAGTCACGTTCCACAACTGCATGACAAGGATACTTCCTACGATGAATTCTTAATTCCTTTCTTTCTGTTCTGCAATCAAGTCTATGAATCAGAAGCCAGAGTTTTCTTCAACTCTTTTTTATTCACCTGCAATCAGATGTGCAATGTAAGTACACCTTACAAGTTTATGCGATGTAAATACAAATAAATAAACAATGCTTTTGTAGCTTAGCAAATAAGGAAATGTAAAAGTAACTTGCCTTTCCCATCGCATTCCGAGGTAGTGAATCCCACAGAAGCAGTCGTGTCGGTATCTGGAAAAATGTAATGCAGTTATTTGTAGTGCTCATTTGAGAATATAGTTGTGTTGTTTGAAAAATGTGATGAGGATTTGGAAGTTATTATTCATGAGAACAGAATGTTTATAACTTGATAACTGAAGAGGACTGATCATAAAAACTCCAGAGGAAGAGAAAAAGTGAATGATGGTCAGTAATACCTTGTATGGTGCAAGTTTGTCTTTTGCCCAAGCAGATAGATCCTCCAAGCTTATAGCAGGTCTCAGTTCTTCCTTTTGTTTCCTCTTCGCTTCAACCTCTGGCACAATTATTGCACAAACAATTTCTCCATAGTTTTCGTCTGGCAAGCCCAACACACAACACTCCTCCACAGCCGGGTGCTACATAAAAGGGGTGATTTTAGTTAGAAAAATTCAATCGTTCATTGAGCACTTCAATTTTTCATTTTTCTTTATAAGACCTACAAAGAAAAAGAACAAAATCATAGAGTATCCATGAGAAAACTGGAATAGAGGTCAAAAATCCACCTGTAAAAGAACTGATTCGATTTCTAATGCAGATAACTTGTATCCACCAACCTTCATAATATCAGCACTAGTACCTGATACATGTCATCAAAAAAATACGGAAGAAGAAAGAAGAATTCGTTCTCAGTTAGACGTCCTTTAAGTATCTGCATTGCTAACCAGAAGTATCAAAATCTGAGACTGGTAAAAACAAACTTGAAGGAATGCATCAATAAGAGTATCATGCACATGAGTTCTAGGTATCCTTACGTCCCAATATGATGTAGTACCCATCTTCGTCCACTGTACCAGCATCTCCAGTTTTGAAGAACCCATCACTTGTAAATGATTCCTTGGTTACCTAGACAATGACCACAATGTCGTAAGAGTAATTTGTTGATATTCTTCAGAATTTCATTATGCCATATACGTAAAATGTAGAATTTCATTACTCCATGTTCCATTCTTCAATTAAAAGAAAAGCACACCTCACAAACATAAATGCAGGTGTGTGCGTGTGTATGTGTGGTTTGTTATCACAGGTGGCATCAAATTTCTGAAATCAGAAATTACCTCAGGAAGTTTCCAATATTCCTTGAATACTGAAGGGCTTCTGATACAAAGCTCTCCCACGCCTGTACTATCACTTCCACTGTCATCTTCTGCAACAATCCTTACCTATAACAAATACAGATCTTATAAACATACATATATAGATACTAATTTGTAGTTACTTTTTATTGAGAAAAACACTCCCATGTCAATTATGAGACACATCACCAGTAAAGTACACCAGCTTCCTAACTCTACAATTTATAAGCTGTTTCAAGGACCAGAATATAGTCTTTGTCAATTAACATCTAAAACATGCATGCACTAAATGTCTAAAGATTTTGCTATTTTAAGTGGTTCCCTTCAGCATCAGGGCTAATTATTAAAATCTGCATGCAAAAAGCTTCCTTCATAAGTTTCTTATGGTAAAATTGCTGCCGTAAGTACATTTCATAACCTGTAGCCTACTTACCTCCACACCTGGAAATGGTTTTCCAACCGTCCCTGCCTTCCGCTCACCTCTTAAGGGGTTTGATATTGCCATGACAAACTAAAAACATCAAAAACCATATATATGATAAGAAATTTTATTTTTTGGATACACACACTCTCTTCATAGAGTGAGAAAACTAGTTCAAAGTAATTTAAACTAAATATCACTTACCTCTGTCATGCCATATCGTTCCAAAAGACGATGTCCTGTGATGGATTCCCATTTATGCATTACAGGTTGAGGGAGTGCAGAGGAACCACACATCTGGGAGAAAGAAATAAGTTTCTTAGTCATGGGTATAGGATTCACCATAGACTTTAATATAGAGGAATGTAAAGGCCAATTTTCATGATAACATTGGGTGGTTCTCCGCAGGAGCTAATTAACTTAGCTGATAATGTATCCTGATGTTATCTGAAAAGACCTGGGATAAAATCCCACATTCATGGTGTCCTTTTTTGTTGCCTTACCTTTCATGTAAACCAGAAGAATGGAGAAAGTTCTACTACCACCAGGGATGCTGTAGTAATGGAAAGAGAGCCTACAAACTTGTGTAGATACAAATACTCTCACAATTATCATTCCCCATATTAGTACCTTACAATTAATTTTCAGACAGTATTTAAAGAGTAGATTTTTACATGTATTTCCGATAAAGATCCAATAATCAAACAAAAGCATCTTACTTCCTGTTTACAATATAGATACAAAACCATTATTGGGGAAAGAAAAAGCTTTCAGGCTACTTACCATAAGACGCAACTGTCTTGCAGCATAGGCAGAGGCAGCTTTTAGCTCTGGATCCATTGCTTCATGAGCTTGTATCAATCGAGTATACATGGTCGGAACCTACACAAATACAAGCTACTTAACTTGCAGTCTAACTAAATTAAGATAAGTATTTCGCATCTAAAATCAGTACAATGAGAGATGCAGTAGATGCATAGCATGTTTAACCTTCAATTCACGTATTGAAGATTATATAACCAATAAATCAACTAACAAGCAGGAGATACCTGCTTTTTAGAATATGACGCTTTCCCAAGAATTTGTATTCTAGTGCAATTATAATATGTTCTAACTTACAATAGATTTTCATATTAGCAAAAACATCCTTCACATACAGAGTAGACTTACTCCTGTAAACACAGTTATGCCATCAGCTGCCTTAGTTCCATTTATTGGATATGATTCACGCCATCTCTGCCAAATACCCCTCACGCTAAATTTTGGCATAAACTCAACCTTCAACAACATAAACAGAAGAAATTAAATTACAATAAGTAGCTGAGCAAGACTCATGAAGCCAAACAAAGCCGTTCCAGGGAAAAACAATGGTGAAAGCCTTCAGTTGTCAAGGCAACCAAGGAAAACAGAAAAAGGAGAGTATATTACCGTCGAACCAGCATAGAGGGGGGCAAGTACAGCATTGAAAAGCCCATGAACATGTATGTTATAGGTTAAGGATAACATGTTTCAATCAATCATCAAAGCCATAAACCAACAAGGATAAATTTCAGTGTGCGACTTAGAATTTCCAATCAAGTTTCTAACAGAAAAGGAAGACACAGAAGACATCAACTAAACGTAAGCTGAGACTGCATATGGAAACAGTACAATTTGCAAGCAAGTACATAAAAGTAGAAGGATATGATGTAGTGGTAGACAATTCAAGAACTGATCAGCATATGTATACTCCCAAGCTTCTGCCAAGGTTTGGACCTGAAATTGAGTCAACATCAGGACAAAAGTCAACCATAGTTAACTTGGAATAGAGACGCTAGAGTCAAGGAAAATAGTGCATGACCTACAAGAATACCTCCATTACATGACTTATAATGTTATAACGCATAAAAGTGAAACAATAAATGAACACCAAGAGATGTTTTTTTTTTCTTTGCAACACATGTCCGTGGACAAGTAGCCCACATGAAAAGAGATGCATTGCAGAGCTAACATCAAAGAAGACTTCTTAGAAGAAATAGCCAAACTTGACAAACAAACCCCTAAACTACAGATGCCTACTAATCAAGAGAAAATGTTTCTAAAACAGTGATCCAGTATATAAAAATTATATTACATCATCTGTTGTCCATTATAATGAAGACCCTTATTGTGACATATGTATCCTACACCTCACCTGAAACTATTTTAGTGGTAGAACGAAATATAGCTAAATCTTTGCTTGCAAGGATAGATGGGGTACATACCTGTGCACTGATGCTTTTGTGCGTGTGCACAACTCCTTTAGGTTTTCCTGTTGTGCCACTAGTGTATATAATTAATGCAGGATCCGCACCTTCATAACAAAAAATGACAGCACAATAATCAAAATTTATTATTAACTCCTGCAGCATTCCCAATACAGGATATAAATTTGCACATTCTTAAAGGCACACAATCTCTCTTACTTGATTGCTTTTTATTCCGGTGAAAAATTCTATCTGCGTCTATTTCTCCAGCTTGTAAATTACCATCTGCACTTTTTTCTGAAGAACTACTAGGAACGGGTGGAATAAGAGAAACTTGAGCAGCACATTTAGCAGCAACATTTTCCATAAGTTGCTGATGATCTTCAGTACTCAGAATCATGGAGACATCCTGTAAACCAGATAATCATTTGAGGCCTACAGAATTTATGCCAAAAATAAAATAGAAAAATATAGAATGAAGATAAGGTATGGCAACATGTATTAAAACTAGTTACTGCATATATTAAAACTAGTAACTCAATAAATAGTGTTGAGAAAAACACAAGTCACTAAGAAAGAAAAGTAAAACGAAGGGGATATTGGGGACTCACTGAATCATTCATCACATGCAAGAGCTCAGCTTCAGGATAGCTGAGAGCAAGTGGAACCGCAACACCTCCACTAAGCCAGGTCCCAAGTATACCAGCAACAAATTCAGCTGAGGGCTTAGCCACAATTCCTATTCTAGCCCCTCCAAGATGCCCTTGTCCTCTTCCACAATCAATTGCTGCTGAAGGAGATTCATACTTACTTGCTTCGGAAGTCTGTATGCCAAAGACACTAAAGAATAAGAGAAAATATTGTGGGAAAGAAACTATAAATGTTGAAATAAAAAAATTGAAAAAAAAACTAGAACTCACTGCGTTCAAGTGACGACTAGATAACAAGCTAGATATACTTGATGCAGAAGAGATTAGTTGATTGTAACTGTAACTCTTGTGATCAGATCTAATAGCAACACTGTCACGAGTTGCAGACCCTTGATTAGTTACCTTTACCGCCTCCATAAATGAACCAGATTGCAATGCTGTAAGGGATTGGAAAACAAAAAAGAGCAGATAATCAAATATACATCTAGCTTCTAGCTGCGCATAGCACAATGATTCATTCAGCCCTTGCAACAAAACTATCAACAAACAAGCATTGCAAGTGCAACTTTCTTAGATAGAAACACAAAATGAGGAGTCTTTTACTAATTGTGGTTATATCTCAGAATTTTAATCCACAGTCTATAACCTAAAAACCGAATTTCCCATCATATTTACTATAGTTGAGCTAAGGACATTTGAAGAGGCACATTGTGTTTAACAGGAAATCCAAGGGACAAGTAAAAATTTCAAGTGATCAGTACAGCTGATAGAAGATATCAGTAACCAGACGTGATTAAACCATACATCTGCTAAATAAGATGCACACGATAGATACACCACCAATTGTCATATAGAAAGGAATGCAGGCCTTTGATCAACTAGAAACATTCAACTTCCATTTTCTTATCTTATTTTTCTCCGATCACAGGGCCTTGCCAGGGTTTAAACCTCTAAAATGTAAAGGGCTTTATTAATTGGGTCAAAATATAGGAGTTCAATACTGAAATTCTGTTATCATGATTTCATATATGAAGTGAGGTTACAAATCATTCTAAGTGTTCCTGGGAAAAGAAAAGGAATTTGTCCAGTTTGGAGTCCCAACTCAAAGAACATTAATACACAATAACAAAAATCAATAAAGAAACAAAAACCGCATCAATGCTCTGTTTGGTTAACGAGTGAAAACACAGGAACATGAAAACCCTTCGCAATGCACAACCCAGGAAACCAAAAAAGAAAAAACCAAATCCTATTCAGTCTAGTCCCTCAATTTTTCCAAAACCCAAGACAATCTTAAAACTTCCCCTCTCTAACTTTCTCAGCAACCAAAAAGCAAACATCTTGTGGGCTAAACAACATAAAAGTAGGAACTTACAAGAGAAAAGGCGAGATTCTGATAAGCAGAGAAAATGATATGTCCTTTTGAAGTAGCAGGAGGCCTTGAGACGCAAAGCAGGGGAATAAGAGCAGAGGGACCTGAGCTGTTGGTTGAGAGGTTTAAATGGGGAGGTGGATCTCATTTTAGGTGTGGCCTATTAAATGGTCACAATTTTTGGTCTGTCAGTGATGACGCAGTTGATGTGGTCGTTGTTGTTGGTGGTGTGCTTAAGATTAGTTTGGTTTTGGTCTTGGCTGCATTCAATCAAAAGGTTGATGGTTTGGTTTATGTCTGGTCGCTGGTGCTTCGAGCTTTGACAATTTGAATTTGAGTTCTGCTGCGAAACGGCAAGTTAAAAAGACACAATTTTACGAGGGAGGGATTAGAGGAGAAATGATTTTCACATTTTGGGTTCTAATTTGTGAGATTTTTTGTAAACGTGTTGTTAAAAAGTGTTTTTGTACTACAAATTTTGAATGAACCGTTTGAACCTTTTTTATTTACCATAAACTGTTATTTTTTATTTTTCAGGAATTACGGTCTGAATGTCAGTGACATCATGGATATAATTGTTCTTCCTTAGTGGATGTATTCAATTTAGATTTTAAAAGATTTAAAGAAGTTTAAAAGTTTAGGTGTATTTAATCACGATTTTATAGAAGTCTATTCAATTCTGGGTGTATTCAATTCAAACTTTTTAAAATCCATTCAAATTTGGATGTATTCAATTACGACTTTAAAAAACTTCATAAAAGTTTGGGTGTATTCAAAAACTCATTGATTTTATTCTCAAGACATGATTTAACCACTTCTACTACCACCATCTGTCATGACTATCACCGATATTGTCCCCAACTTAACCACTCTGTCATGACTATCACCGATATTGTCCCCAACTTAACCACCTACAAAACTCAGTAGGTGTAGGGTTTTATCACAAAAAGCCTCGGTGATATTAGTAGTGGAATCATTTATTATATCTTTTATTTTATTTAATCAAGTTTCCGATGTAGGACTTATCTTCTTCAATATTTTGGACGAAATTAGAAGGAATTTGACATAATTTGTAATGTGTCCTTCAATTGCGAGGGATTTAAAACTCCAAGCACAAAATTGACAAAATTGAAACTACGAGGATCAAAATAGTAAAACATGAAAACTACATAGGTCAAAAATGACTTTTTGCCATAAGTAAAACACAACAGATAATAACTTGTATTAGTTTCCAGAGTTCCAAACTATTAGAATTCTGAAATCTTATTTATATTTTAAAAAATTTGCGTAAGGGCCAAAAAAAAAAATTATTCCTAGGTTTCAACCGAATTAATACAGGCCCTTTGCATTTTTAGGGGTTTGAATGTAGGCAAGGGCTAAAGGACCAAATTAAATAAAAGGTGAAGAAAAAAGATTGTAGTGCATTTTGTGAATGGAATTTGAAGGTATAATGCTTTGCAGGGTTTGACCCAAAAAAAAAGAAAAAAACATGACTGATCACTTGCAACTTTTTACCTTTGCATTTTGTGCTAAATAGAATGTGTCCATTCAAATGTCCTTATTCACTCTTTTCTCTAATAATATAGTTTCTCTAATAATGTCCTTATCAGCAAATAATAATGTCTAAGTCGTTCCAAATTTGAATCTCCCTCTCCTTGAATAAAAAAAAAATACAACCAAAGTAACATAGATTAAAAAGAAAAGGGAGGGTTTGGCTCTCGCTGCCGGCGTCAGCCCTCCACCGATTATTCTAGCCGACTCCCAACCACCTCAGTTGTACAAATAATAAATTTGAAATAATTAAACCATGTGAAACTCTAGCTATAGTACTTACTAAACAATGTGGTACGTAGTGTTAGAAATAATTAAAATTTGCCACAAGAAATGAGATTTGGCTGGAAAATTTTGGTGGGTACAATTATTGGATTTGTTGGGGCAGCATTTGGGAGCGTGGGAGGTACTGGAGGGAGTGGCTTTTTTTGTTCCAATGCTCACCCCGATTATTGGGTTTGATCAGAAATCATCAACGGCAATATCAACATGTAACTTTTAAGTACTTTGATCACATGTTTTTATGTTTTCACCTTCTGAACAAGCCTCATACATCTTCACTTTCAACTCAAACATTATTGATTTTATGAAATTCCACAGATTTACAGTTTCAGTCACCCCCAAGACTATCCAACTTTCTAAAACTTTAGATTGGAGTTTCATAGTTGTAAGAATTTCTAGCTTTCTCTGCTTGAATGTTATGCATTAGCATTTATTGGGTGTGTTATTAAATTCCTAATGAGTTCTGGACATGTTTAATGAAATTTTTATAATGCATCAGTCAATATTTTCTGTTTTGTTTTCCAAAACTGATGTCTAAGTTTACATCCTGATAGGTTTAATTTGTTTTTGCCTTAATTATGTGTATGTTATTAGTTTTAATTGGTCTTATAAGGTAATACATAGAAAAATTGTCTGTTAATTTACCTTTTGCTTTCCATTTAAACAACTGTAGGCTATTTTGAATGTTCTGTCCGGTTGGTCAGGTGTGGTCACAGGGAGAGCAGCTGCAACTATCTTTTACAATTTAAGGCAAAGGCATCCGACACTCGAGTTGCCCCTCATCGACTATGATCTTGTGCTTCTATTTCAACCAATGCTGATGGTGGGGATAAGCATTGGAGTTTCATTGAATGTTGTTCTCTCTGAATGGATGATCACCACCTTACTGATTATTGTCCTTACAGGTAACACTTTTCTGAGCTGCAACCTTCCCCGTTCACAATTGGACAACTTCCTCATGTATGATATAACTGCAGGCCCAACGACAAAATCGTTCTTTAAAGCAGTTGAGACGTGGAAGGAAGAAACTATAACTAAAAAGGTGGTCTTTGGATTTTGCTTGTTTCTAGACTAGTTGTATATTCTGGGATTGCATTACTTGATCCATCTCAATTGCACCTTGCTTTATTGGTTTCAGAATTTACTGGATGCTTCCAAACACTTGCAACCAAATGGTGAGTTGCTCAATCATTTTTCACTTCGGTATTATGTCTTTCATCTGTTTTGACGCAGATATATTTGAACTATCAGTTGCTAGGCTAAAACGCATGCTCCTTAGTTAGGTGATGGAAATGAAGACGTTGAAGAAAGAATCATTCCTGGAGGCCCAAGCAATGGCACAACAGAAACCAAGGAAGCTAAAAAGGCAAGGGTTAGAGTTTTGAAGCTAAACTTTATGCATGGTTTTTATAGACTGACTTCTCTGAACTCCCCAGGTTTCTCTGCTTGATAGTGTTTGCTGGAAGCAATTTGGAGTTGTTGCTGCTGTCTGGGTTGCAATAGTTGCATTGCAGATTGCTATGGTTTGTCTAGTGAAACTTTCTATTTGGAATTTCCATTAACTTATATTCATTAAGAAGCCGGTTGATGGGAAACTTATTTTTGCTGGCGCAGAAACAGGTGACAAAATGTTCAGTGGCATATTGGTTACTAGATGTCTCACAGGTACCTTCCATGCTCCCTGTATCAAGAAAACAATCTTCCTTGTGCTTGAAATTAGCGATTGTGAAATATGTACCTCAACTAAGGACTTTTTGTTCCTTTTGTCCTGCATCAATCAGATTCCAGTGGCTGTTGGAGCAAGTCATATGCTGCGGTTAACCTGTACAAAGGGCGGAGAATAATTGCATCCAGTGGACAAGAAGGTGCAAACTGGAGAGTGCACAAGCTTGTTTTATATTGTGCCTGTGGCATAGCAGGTGGAATAGTTGGCGGTTTGCTTGGTTTAGGTGGAGGATTCATTATGGGTCCACTGTTTCTGGAGATTGGGATCCTTCCTCAGGTACATTTCATACTTCAACATTTGATAAGTGATGTAGTTGAGTTTGTTTTTCTTTGGGTGCCTCTCACAATTCTAAAGTATTTGTTCTTGTCGCATTCACTTCTTATTAGTTCCACCCCTCAGAGTAAAAGCTAACAAAATATGATGATCATTTTATTACCTTGTTGAGAACTTTTCTGCAGGTGTCAAGTGCCACAAGCACCTTTATCCTTACATTCTCTTCATCCATGTCTGTTGTAGAATTTTACCTCCTAAAACAATTTCCGATTCCCTTTGGTAACTTTCTTAGCCATTCACATTTCTGTTCATAAATTAATCACTACTTGTGCTTCGAAGGCAATTTCTGTTTTCAAATAAATGCTGGCTTCTGCCATTGTAATTGTTCTGCAGCTCTCTACTTTGCTGCTGCGGCAATTCTTTCTGCCATCATAGGGCAACATTTTTTAGGAAAGGTGATCAAAGCCTTAGGAAGAACACACTTGATCATCTTCATTCTGGCTTTCACAACACTTGTAAGTACAGTTTCCTTAGGTAAGTGTCATTTACCCATGCAAACTCTATTTTTTTCTTTTCTTCTTTTACTTTGAACCACATGTTAAGCTCAAGATATGAATTTTCTGCTAACATATATAGTTTTTGCTTCTAAACAGGTGGAGTTGGCATAGCAAACATGGTTAAGCAAATTGAGCACGAGTACATTGGGTTTGAGAGAATGTGCAGTCAAGGATCCTAAGTCCGTAGCTCAGATTATTTGATTTTAGAAACCTATAAGCTTAGAAACTGGTATTAATTAGTCCAATGTTAGAACACTATAAGCTTAGAAACATTCAGTCTAATGTTTTATAGCTTTTTTTATAGAAAATTTATAGCCTTATTGTCGAATCCAAATCCTTTCTTTCAAATACATTCCGTCCGAATGGAGCAATTTGCACAAAATAGAAATCCATTCCTTTCCCTGGTCAAGGGGCAAAAACGTTTGTTAATTCAGAGTAAAATTGTCCAGTAGTTTTGAGTTCCATATATGTTATATAAGAGGTAAAGGGTCCGAGCAATAAATGTGTATGGGTGAGCAGTGATTATATATGGGTGAGAGAAGTAATTAGGGAGGTTCAAAGTTGGTAGCTAATCAAGTCATACTGTCGTACGTGAGTGTCTTAAATCAACCATCACTCAATATCAGTCAACCCACAAAATCTTTCTTCCATTCGCATGCATACACATAGTGAATCTGAAAAATATAAATTAGACTAAATCAAAGGCAATGCCAGCAGAAAGTTTCTCATTTTCGAGATCCTGCTATACGTTCTGTAGATACATCTACATACATTCTTTTGTATCCAAGTCATAGTATATATAAATTATAATATATATGTATTAGTTTTTTTTTAATACAAGTGAGGAAGAGGGGTTCCTCACACCTACACTACCAACGTGCCATAGGGGTTCGAAACTGAGATCACTAGCGTGCAAGTCAAAGCCTTTTCCACTGGGCTAGATCCCGTTGTTATACATATGTAATAGTTTTGGTTATACTGCATTGGGGTTAGGAGGAAGTTCTGAGAAAATGGCTGGTAAGATTGGAACTCTTGGAGTTGGTTTTCTGGTTTTATTAGCATTATCATCTGCAGCAGTTTCAGCACATGAAGAAATGTTGGGCTCACAACCTTCAAGCCAGAATATTACTGGGAAAGAGGTTCAATCTCACTTGGGTTATAAGCATGTGTGGCCTGTAAGTCCTATTTTCTATTACCTTTGTTGGGTTTGTTGCCTAAATGCATGTTAGGCTGCTGAGAAAATGTGCCTTGCCCAAGGATGATCTATTTGGAATGTAAAAACTGTTTTGTTGTAAATCTTCTACCTCCCTGTTATATATACCTTTTGTTCTCTCTGTTTAACCAGTAAACAAACAAACAAAAACTCATATTTTTTTCAATACATTTTAGTAGGTAAAACTGAATGGCAGGTCTTAAATGGTGCTTCCAAATAGTTCAAACTTTGTAGTGATGATCATATACAGGATATCAGATTTGGCTGGAAAATCGCGGTGGGTACGATGATTGCATTTGTTGGGGCAGCATTTGGGAGTGTGGGAGGTGTTGGTGGGGGTGGCTTTTTCATCCCAATGCTCACCCTCATTATTGGATTTGACCAGAAATCATCAATTGCAGTCTCCAAATGTAAGAACATATATATACTTTCATATGTCACAGTTTTAAATTCATCTCATTCATCTTGTTCTTTTCTGTTCAAACACCTAAATTTTGCTTCTTTGTGGTCAGTCAGGTATGATCACGGGCACAGCAACTGCAACGGTCATGTATAATTTAAGGCGAAGGCATCCTACTCCTACACTTGACCTGCCCATCATTGACTATGATCTCGCGCTTCTTTTCCAACCTGTGTTGGTTCTTGGGATCAGCATTGGCGTTTCTTTGAATGTGGTTCTTTCTGACTGGATGATCACCATCCTACTATTTATTGTGCTCTTAGGTAACAATTTTCTAAGCTGCAAATCTTCTTCCTTTACATCTTTCGAGAACTTCCTTGAGTGGTCGTGATCTGCAGGGGTATCAACTAAGTCGTTCTTCAAGGGTGTTGAGACATGGAAAAGAGAAACTATAACTAAAAAGGCGGGCTTTAAACTTTTCTTTGTTGTTCAAGTTGATTGTATATTCTGCACTTCTAATCCATCTAATACTTCAACTTGTTTCATTATTTTTAGAACATGTTTGATGCTTCAAAACAGTTGCAATCAAATGGTGGGTTGGCCTATCATTTCTTGATGACCTATTCAAACTCCGACATATACATATTGCAAGTCTAATTTGCTCTTACTAATGAAGATGTTGAAGACAAATATATTCCGGGAGGCCCAAGCAATGGCACTCTAACAGAAACCAAGGAACCTGAACGAACAGCGGTAAAATATATGAAGCTTAACTTCTTTTATGTATGGTTTTAAGGACTGACTTAAGCAACCGTCCCAGGTTCCTGTTCTTGATAATGTTCGCTGGAAGGAACTTGGAGTAATTGTTGCTGTGTGGATCATAATACTGGCATTGCAGATTGTTAAGGTTTTTATCTAGTTTCATACGCATTTGATGTTCCTTTGAAACTTTACTATTTGGAATTTCCCTTCACTTCTATGCATTAAGAAATCCAATTGATCGAAATCCTACTTTTTCACACAGAATTATGTGGCAAAATGTTCACTGACATATTGGTTGGTAGAACTCTCGCAGGTACCTCCATGCTCCTTCTATCAAGAAGACAAACTTCCTTGTGGCTGCAAATATGGCTTAAGTAAGAATCCCATTATAATGAGAACTTTTTTCTTTTTCTTCCTTTCTTCCTGTATCTATCAGATTCCGGTGGCTGTTGGTGTAACTTCATGTCAGGCAGTTAAATTGTACAAAGGCCGGAGAGTAATTGCATCCAAGGGAGAAGAAACCCCAAAGTGGCCACTGTACAAGCTTGTTTCTTATTGTGCCTGTGGCACGGCAGCTGGTATGCTTGGTGGATTGCTTGGCCTCGGTGGAGCGTTTATGTTGGGTCCAATGTTTTTGGAGATGGGAATTCCTCCTCAGGTACATTTCATACTTCAAAATTAACAATTGATGTTTGTTTTTCTCGAGTTTATCTCACAATTTTAGTATTCAATTACATAATGAAGCACACTTATTTTTTCTTGGAAGTAAAATCAGCTTGAAAAACACATGTTACATTAGTTACACCATAATGCACATTTTTTTTCCTAATTTCACTTCCTTAACCCACCACTTGAAGAGGAGAAGCCATCCATCAGAAACTATTCTCTCTTTAAGTAATTATCTGATACCTTAAGTCCTTATTTGTGATGAGAACTTTCATATAGGTGTCAAGTGCCACGGCCACCTTTGCCATGACATTCTCTTCATCCATGTCTGTTGTAGAATACTACCTCCTAAACCGCTTTCCAGTTCCTTATGGTAACTTTTTTAGCCATTCAAGTTTTCTTTGAAATTTTAGCCATGACATTCTCTACACAAATGGATGTTTACAAGAAATTTTATCTATTAAAAGAAATGTTGGTTTCTTTCATTGTAATTCTCTTGCAGCTCTCTACTTTGCTGCTGTGACTACTGTTTCTGCAATCGCAGGGCAACATGTGGCAGGAAAGGTGATTAAGAAATTAGGAAGAGCATCTTTGATTATCTTCATTCTAGCTTTCACAATATTTGTGAGTTCACTGATGTTAGGTATGTCTCATTCTTACATACATGCACTGTTTCCTTTTGTTCAAAGCCAATATATTTATGATTATATGGTGAGCGAATGCTTTTGTTTTCCTCTAAACAGGTGGGATTGGCATAAAAAACATGATTAAAAATATTGAGCATAAAGATTCCTTGGGATTTCAGAACATCTGCACTTGAGGAACCTAGTCTTCTTAAGGGCCTTAACTAGGTTTTCCAGAGACTTCGCAATGTCGTTATCATTTTATATCCAGTCTTTGAGCCAAAGAATTTGTAAAGCAGCTTTAAATTTTGGGGTAGAAATATTTATCACGAAGAGAATTAGTGAGATCATTGGAACATTAGTGCATATCAAGCTAACATAACATTGATTGAGATGAAAAGTATGTAAGGATTGGAGACTCACCTTATACAAAACAATCATTGGCATTTCTAATATTTGCATGTTTCATTTTGTATGATGTAGGATTTTGATAATAGTTACAAAAATGGTCCAAGTACAAGTAGGAAAAATGAATTGCATAAGTATTTGGATGAGGAAAGACTAGATAGAAAGCAAGACATAGATGTTCTTTCTTGGTGGCAAATGGAGCATTTTCATTATCCGATACTTTCAAATCTAGCTCGTGATGTGTTAACAATTCCTATTTCTACGGTTGCATCGGAATCCGCTTTTAGTATTGGTGGTAAAGTACTAGATCAATACCGTACTTTATTATTGCCAGAAATTGTTCAAGCTTTGTTGTGTACTCGAGATTGGCTTTTTGGCAAAGGAGGTAAATTTTATATAACTTAAAACTAGTGTTTTATTTTCTGTTTTTTTTCATTATGTGAATGTTTTGTAACTTTCGGATTTTCAATGCTTAGCTATGGAGGAAGAGAGTGCTAGTGTGGAAAACCTTACTGAAGATATCTTCAAACTTACTTGTCAAGATACTAGATCAGGACAAAGCTCCAATACTATCTCTCTTGAAGATTGATGAGAGGTATTGATGAGTAATTGATATTTTATCAATATAATATTTATCAATAATTGTTTTCTCATAGTTACTTTTTTTTTTCTTTCAGGAAAATTGCAATGGTGAAATGTTGAAGTTTGGATCATCTTAATGGATTTTTTTGTGTGCAGAGCTTCATGGATTACTTCATATTTATTTTGCCTTTTCCTTTTGTTATGATGGATCATGTTCACGGATGTTGATGTTGAAGTTTGGATTAAATTCAAGAATATTAGCTTTTGTTGGAATGATTTTGATTTTGTGGGCATGTAAAAATATAGGTTTTTTAAATTTTTATTAAAAAAGTTTATTTTCTTAACGGGTGAAACGGGTCGTGTCGTGTGATTCGCGAATTAGAGCGGGTCGTGTTCGTGTTTGATATTTTCCACCCGTTTTCTTATCGTGTCGTGTCGTGTCAACCCGTTAAAAAAAACGGGTTGACACGAAAACGACACGAATACTGATAACACGACACGAATGCCATGTCTAATTGTATTCATGTTGAATTTAGCTAAAGAAGGAGATTATCCATTTTGCAACTCATGAGGTTGATTGGTTGAACTATGATCGGCTAGCGAAAAATGCGTTTCACTGGCTAAAGGGCTGATGTCTACGTTTGATGTGGAACATCGACCAATTTATGTCCACAGCGTTTTCCTATTATCATTATCCCCGTAGCTAAAGACCAACATGTGTTGGGGCCCATTCTCTCTCTCTCTCATTCTCTCACCTGTCTAGTTTCTCTAGGGCTATACCAAGCGTTATCCTTCAATGTTTTGCCATGGGAAAGCTGGTCCTGTTCTCTCTTGATTAATTTTCTTCTTGTTCATCTATTACTCTTTCCATCGTGCATGAATTGGAACCCATTTGTCAAAAGTAGAGGAAACGCATCAAGCTTATATATGAGTGGAAGATTTACGAATATGAAGCTCATAAGTAGAAGATAGATTTAGTAAAGTCAAGCTTTTTAGCTTAATACATTCAGAACATATATGCATATGTGCATTTTGTTTTATATCACAGTATTTATTTTCACACATAGCTATGTTCTCATTCTGAACTTATTCATAAAGATGTGGAGACAAACGTGGTTTGACGAGGACATCAAGAGGGGTGAGTTTCGTGTTAGTAAGTCCAACGCTTCCAGTCATATCAACTGGTGCATTTCCTCGGGTCGTGACATCAAACGAATGAAGAAAACTAGCCAAGATTAAAAGCGTCATCTGAAGAGCAAAACTTATCCCAGGGCATGCTCTTCTACCACTCCCAAACGGCATCAGCTCAAATTGCTGACCCCTAACATCAACATCCTTATGGGTAGTGAGAAATCTCTCTGGCTTGAACTCCATCGGGTCGTCCCAAACCCGAGGGTCAGTTTGGATCTTCCACAGGTTCACTAGCAGCCATGTGCCTTTTGGAACCTGGTACCCTCCTACAGTACAGTCTTCTGTAAACTCCCTCTGGACCGAGAGTGGTCCAGGTGGGCATAAACGCATTGCTTCTTTAATAGTGGCCGGCAGGTACACCAGATTATTTATATCTGACTCATTCAGCAGTCTTCTTTTGCCAACATGCTGGTCAAGTTCTTCATAAACTTTCTTCAAAACTTGGCGGTTGTTCAAAAGCAAAGAGAGTGTCCACGTCAGGGTCACCATGGTTGTGTCACTCCCTCCAGCAATCATAGCCTGCACAATCAAAACTTTGGTGATTAATAAAACAAATTTAGCATATACCATTGAGGTCGTTGTTGTAAATATACCAAACATGTTGCTTTGATGACGGTATCAGCATCGAAGCCAGCAACATATGCTCCATCGATGGCTGAAAGCATGACATCCATGAAATCTTGATCTTTCCCTTTAGTTCTTTTCTGCTTGTGCTCCTCCAACCATTCCGCAAGAATACTGTCCAGTTCTTTGGCAGTTCTCTTCATGGCCTTCTGCTGTCCACCCAAATCCAACCAACTAAGCCAAGGAACAGCATCTCCCAACAGAAACAATCCCAGCAAATGAAAGAACTCCCCCATGGCTTTTTGCCACCGCCTTGCCTCCTTCTCCTCACTCAAATCCCCATTCATAAAGCATCTCTTTCCAGCAATCATCCTAAAAACCACATTTAGAGTCAAACTTCCAAACCACTGCTTCATCTCCACCAAAAGCTCCCCCGACCCTTCTTTTCTGTTGCTCCATAGAGTGTACAGCTCTTTTAAGCTCATCTCTACTTCGGATGCTTTAACGTTTCTCAGTAGCTCGAGCCTGCGGTTTGAGAGTAGCTCGAGGGATGTCAGTTTGCGAATTTCACGCCAATATGGACCGTAAGGGCTAAACCCGACCATGGCAAAGTTGTAGCTCAAGTGCTTAATCCCTAGCGTAGCGGGACGGGAGGAAATAGCTATATCGTTTGTGGTGAAGCAATCCTTGGCCGCCTCCCAAGTACTTATCACCAGAGCGGAGTGGATGCCAATATTGACGGTGAAGATTGGTCCATACTTGCCAACCAAGGAAGCCAAAGCTATGTGAGGAAGCTGAGATCCTCCGAATAGGTCGAGATGACCTAGCAGAGGCCACCCACCTTCCACTTTTGGTGGTTTGGGACCCTTGGCTTTGGCACTAGAGCTTGATCTCTTTATGATAAAGTAGGAAAACACAAGTATGGCTAGGATTCCAGCTATGGCAGTGTTTAGGCATGGGAGATACAACTCCATTGTTGAAAAGGAAAGGTTGAGGGTAGCTAGCACTTGTGCAGAGGTCCTTATATTTATGTTGAAAATGAGGGTAGGACAAATGCAATAATTGAGATTGTGGAAAATAAAGAAACAAGTTACATGGAAGAGTACACAAGACGCAACAAAATCCCAAATTCTAAATAAAGCACACAAATGAAAAAGAAATTGTAACACCACGCAAAATCAAGAAAATAGGAAAATGAAAATAAAAACAAAGAATTTTTTTATATTTTTATATTTTTATATTTTTATTATATTTTAAATAATAAATTCAAAAAATAACTAGTCCTCCTATTAAGAGAAAAAGAAAGGATGACCAATTAAGGCCTTCCAAAATCACAGCCAGGTCTTTTCCGGGAAGGCTGGAGGTGTCTCCTTAAAGAACTTTCCTAGACACTGTAACGTTGAAAGTAACTCATTAGAGTTGCCAAGAGTTAACTCCTTCCAAGAGGGTCCTATGAGTTTTAATCATACTTTAAAAAAACTAAAAATAAATAAAAACTGAAATAAACACAACAATTCAAGCAAGAATTTAAAAGAAGAGTTGGAATTTTTGCATCAGGTCTCCAAGACGCATCTTTAAGTCCTTATCCACTTTCAAATAAATCCTTATGAAACATTTAAAAATAAGAAGCAAACCAATTATTTCCAATTTAGAAAGAAAAACAAATACACAAAATAACAAGAAGAAAAGAATTTTATTTTATTTTTTCATTTTTCTCGGTTTTGTTGCACTTCTTCAAAATCTAAGGCTCCACCAACGAAGATTAAATGATAACCTGAAATAAAGAAGAAGATAAAAATTAATAATGTAAAACAATTGAGAAGAAAATTTGAAATTGTTTTATTTTATTTTATTTTGAAATATTTTCGGTTTAGTAAAAAAAAAAACCTATCTTTTAATTTGATTTGATTTGGTCGGTTTGTTTGATTTAACGATTTTTATGCCCCACCCTAGTTTCTATAATACTTAGAAGGCACCTTCAACTATTTATTTCTGCCGAAGCTATTGTGCTTAACCCAACCCAGCCCTCCATGCTCACTGGTCTGTGCCTGCAAAGTCAAGCCCAAGTAAACCAATAGCTTTGTTTTGATGGGCTAGACCAGCATGGTCGAATACACCAATTTACATTATATAAAAAATTTATCGTACTGATTTGATATTCTAATTCTAACTACTCTAATGTCCGGGAAGAATGTTCGAATTTGAGTGTGAGATACACTGCTTCGGGAAGAATGTTCGAATTTGAGTGTGAGATACACTGCTTTGGCAAACTGACCTAACCTAACATCTGCTTACTAAACTGGTCAGTTCAGAGTTAAGACGATGGAATAAAAACTCACTGATTCAAGATTTTTGATGAGATCTGGCACAAACAAAAGTTATTAAATAGGATTTTAGTATATTAGATATATGATGAACAATTGAAGCGGTGGGGGAGGGATTTCAACAATCCATATTTAATTTAAGGATTAAGAAATTTATTCCTCTTCATTGAGGAACTCCTTAAGTCTCTTTTCAGTCTTAAATTTTAATGATGGCGATGGCTCGGCCAAAACAAACCAAAGTAGCAGTTACCCTCAAGGAAAGTCCATTATTTTGATGGAACAATTGTATTATATTATTCCGAGAGTGAGGTCAGGTCCGCATGTATTACATTGACTTGTAAGTTTCAGTAGCATCAATATGCTCACAAAATATCTGAGGGAAAAAAAAAAACCTCTAGTAATATACATAGGCCTTCCAGGATGAGCACTTGATAATTAGTTCCCAAATTCTCCAGCCACAGCATGATGCTAACTTCGAACCGGAATTCAGGCAAACATACAAAGATCTGAGAATCTCCAGACTACGTTATTGTTCATTTATCTCCCTGCAAATCAACATGATACATCAATTCATATGAACAAAAATAGCATCAACCAATAAGGGAACTCTCATATAAATGACAACTTTTTTCCACAATCTGGCAAGTTTTCTTTTCATCTGTTTTGGACTTAACATCTGGCAAGTTTAACTAAACAAATTTCAGCTAAATTTACAGAGCTGATATTAAAGCACAGGGATCGACTCAGAGGTCTTGACAGTTGACACTAATTCAAACAATTTGACAATTTGACACCAGATATTGTTAACCCAGACTTCTGGTAGGCTAAATTTACAGAGCTGATATTAAAGCACAGGGATCGACTCAGA